AAAAAAAAAAAAAAAAGAAGCTGGGATTACAAGCCTATGCCACCAAGCCCGGCTAATTTTTTTTGTATTGTATTTCATTTTTTTTGAGACAGAGTTTCGCTCTTGTTACCCAGGCTGGAGTGCAATGGCGTGATCTCCCCTCACCGCAACCCCTGCCTCCTGGGTTCAAGCAATTCTCCTGCCTCAGCCTCCCGAGTAGCTGGGACTACAGGTGTGCACCACCATGCCCAGCTAATTTTTGTATTTTTAGTAGAGACGGGGTTTCACCATGTTGACCAGGGTGGTCTCCATCTCTTGACCTCGTGATCCACCTGCTTCGGCCTCCCAAAGCGCTGGGATTATAGGCTTGAGCCACGGCACCTGGCCCTTTTTTGTATTTTAAGTAGAGACAGGGTTTCACCATGTTGGCCAGGCTGGTATTGAACTCCTGACCTCGTGATCCACCCACCTCAGCATCTCAAAGTGCTGGGACTACAGGTGTGAGCCACTGTGCCTGGCTCATCTTTACATCTCTTTTTTTTTTTTTTTTTTTTTGAGATGGAGTTTCACTCTTGTTACCCAGGCTGGAGTGCAATGGCGTGATCTCGGCTCACCGCAACCTCCGTCTCCTGGGTTCAGGCAATTCTCCTGCCTCAGCCTTCTGAGTAGCTGGGATTACAGGCACGTGCCACCATGCCCAGTTAATTTTTTTGTATTTTTGGTAGAGTCGGGGTTTCACCGTGTTGACCAGGATGGTCTCGATCTCTTGACCTCGTGATCCACCCGCCTCGGCCTCCCAAAGTGCTGGGATTACAGGCGTGAGCCATCTTGCCTGGCCATGACACAAGATAATTTATATGAAGTAATAGAGGGCTAATCTTGAAGTAGGTATGCAGTAAGTGCTGCCTATTACTGCCTGCCAAGAACCAAATGTACATTTGAAAGAGTTGTGAATTTCAAGAAAGTTATTTTTGGGTTTTTTTTTTCTTTTTGAGACAGGGTTGTGTGCTGTCACCGAGGCTAGAGTGCAGTGGTGTAATCTTGGCTCCCGGCTGGGACCAAGTGATCCTTCCCTCTTGGCCTCCCAAGGTGCTGGGATCACAGGCATGAGCCACTGCATTTAGCTGAGTTTTTGTTTTTTTCTCTATTTTTCCAAGCTAATTAGTAAGATAAAGACATTAACTGTTGTTGACACTTTCCATTTTCAATTAATAATTAGGGCATTTGTCCAATTTTTGTTTGGTAATCAGAAGAATTTAATTTGTTCAATAGGCTCAACAGTTTTCTGTATTCCAACTATTAGATGGTTTAAGTTTATTACATTGTTGCTTTTTGCAGGTTGTCCTTTGTCCTAGATAGAAACGTTATAGTAGTTCTCCCTGGTTTTCAGGGGAGCCCATTGGAAGGAGATCAATCTCTAAAATTTAGTGATAGGATAATAATAATTGAACAGTTATTTATGAATCTAATTTAAGTAATCTCAAATTCCTATGAATCATTTTTAATTTAGAAAAGTCAGACTTAAAGATGGAATATAAAAATCTTTTCTTTTTTTTTTTTGTTGTCACTTTTCATATATTCCCTCAATTACACTGTTAATATTCTATTAGAAATTGTCTCTCCACACACACCTCTTTTTTTCCTTTTGGTTAATACATTAAGAATATCTTTTTATATGAGCATGTAAGAAGATCTCTTTTTTATTTTGAGATAGGGTGTCACTCTGTTGCCCAGGCTGGAGTCCAGTAGTGTGATCACAACTCACTACAGCCTAGACCTCCTGTGTTGTTTTTTTTTTTTTTTTTTTTTTTTTTTTAGACGGAGTTTTACTCTTGTTACCCAGGCTAGAGTGCAATGGCGCGATCTCGGCTCACCGCAACCTCCGCCTCCTGGGTTCAGGCAATTCTCCTGCCTCAGCCTCCTCAGTAGCTGGGATTACAGGCACGCACCACCATGCCCAGCTACTTTTTTGTATTTTTAGTAGAGACGGGGTTTCACCATGTTGACCAGGATGGTCTCGATCTCTTGACCTCGTGATCCACCCGCCTCGGCCTCCCAAAGTGCTGGGATTACAGGCTTGAGCCACCGCGCCCGGCCGACCTCCTGTGTTAAAGTGACTCTCCTACCTCAGCTTTCTGAGCAGTTGGGGCTACAGACCCATGCCATCATACCTGGCTAATTAAAAAAAAATTACTTCATAGAGACGAAGTCTTGCTATGTTACCCATGCTGGTCTTGAATTTCTGGCTTCAAGCAATTCTCCTCTGCATAAACCACTACTTCAGTCTTGATTATTTTCTTATTATGAAATTTTAATTTAGGTAAATATAGATTTGCATACAGCTGTAAGAAATTTCATGGGCAGGCCAGGCGCAATGGCTCACCCGTGTAATTCCAGCACTTTGGGAGGCTGAGGCAGGCAAATCACTTGAGGTCAGGAGTTCCAGACCAGCCCGGCCAGCATGGTAAAACCCCGTCTCTACTAAAAATACAAAAAATTAGCTGGACATGGTGGCATGCACCTATAGTCCCAGCTACTCGGGAGGCTGAGGCAGGAGAATCGCTTGAATTC